TAATAGACAGAAGTATAAGGCAGTAGATCCATTCCACAAATTCTTAGGTTGAACGTACTATTCACTGCCTATTACATGTACAATTGAGGTATTAATTACGACTTAGTCAAGATGAGATGCCCATGCTAATTGCATATTAAATGGTGCATATTAACAAAAAATAACGTCAAATAAAATATACTATATATGTGTTTTATGCAACACTTCATCCTTTTGACAGATTGTCTAAAATTTCTGTCCATTTTTGTTGAGCAGTTAAAAAAGTTTTTACTCTTACTATAGCAGCTTCCCAGTGGGCTACCGACTATACCTAGATAGGCATAACATATAAATTTAACATATTTAACTGAACAAGAAAAGTATACTTCAAATGAAACTCTTTATATATATATATATATATATATATATATATATATATATATATATATATATATATATATATATATATATATATATATATATATATATATATATATATATATATATATATAAATTGCATAACTCATTTCCATTAAAATGAAATAGTTTACGAAAGACAAGGGTACAATAAGATGGATGAATTAAATGTTAAATTCTGGGTTTACGGACTATATAGTTTCAAGTCTCTATTTGGACAATCCACTTACAGAAAATGTAATTTTATAACCAAATTTTAGTCATTTTTTCTTTGGTTTTCTATAATAGTTTTACTACTTAAGTTTGAATATTTTTAATACCGTACTTAAAAAAAATCATTTTTTCTAATTTACTGCGCATTTCATGGCCAAATGAAATTCCAGTTCAACTACTGTCTAAACTCGTTATCTTAAACTCGATGGGACCAAGAAGATATCCGAGGACTGAAGATATCGAGGGTTAATTACTTAAAGAATAAGTGGTTTTGACATATCTTTGGTATTCGAAATATCAGTGTTCCAGATACCGAAGTTCAACTGTAATTACAAATTTATTCTTGGTGAAACTGTTTTGAATAAAAACGTTTGTAACAAGTAATGGGAGCTGTTAATCATGGCATGATTTTTGGGGGTTGGAGTCAAGACTATACTGTTTCATATTTTTATCATTTGATTTTACGTAATACGATGGTCTTTAAAAATAAGGATTACTTATTATGATGTAATTCAATAAAAAAAATTACAAAACATGATTGTAAAAAAATCATTTGAATTTATCGTGGGGAATGGTTGTATAAAGTGTTGAAAAGTCGTACGTTTTGATGTTATCGATTTTGGTAAAATTTTGTAATTTCAAATTTTCTAAAAGTTCTTCGGAGTTTTTAAGTATCTACACCTGATATATTATCGCTGTACAGAACTCCTGAAGTTTCTCCTTCACTGCTGTTAATATTTTAGTGAGGAGTAAAGAAAGAGGTTTGGTAGAACATTTACTGGAACCATATTTATCCATACAGAATCAAAGAACTATATATGATAAGAGTTAATTTTGGCCCCCAAGATTCAATTATTTAAAATGTGATTCAGATATGTTTATATAATTGTTTTTTATTTGTAGAAGAGATTATATAAGAGGTATTTCCTGTACATTTTTCACATTCATATGCACTCACAGGCTTTAAATGAAGTCAGAAATGATGCAATTTTTGTAATCCAATGAAAATAAGACAAAAAATAGCCTTTTTCTTGATGTTTTTGTTATGGGAAACATAGAGTGCAGCTTAAAACAGTCATGCAAACTTTTTCTATCAGTAATTTGTCGTGGATTGATACGTCTTCGGTAAAACTATAAAGTTTTCTCAAGTCTGCACTCACTATTTCTTCGAAGAAAAACTGCTTGAAAAATAAGCAGTTTTATACAAAATATGCCAAAATGAGGGGAAAAGGTGAATTTTATAATGTCATATTTCTAAATTAAGGTCATTTTGATCAAATTGAAAATTACGAATAAAGGTCACATGTATGGCTTTACAAAGTAAAGCTATATATAAAGTAAAACTAAGAAGTTCAATTTAATAGGCCATTTGAGTCACCTATCAGATATTGCTTTTGTTTATTTAATTATAACAATCCAATGACAAGAGGCTCATGTAGACAATTATAAGAGTAAAGGTCTTACATGTACTTTGTACAAGAGATCCAAAGTAAGGAATTCATCCTTATGTTTTATGATAAAATCCCACTATGGAATATAAAGACTGATCGTTGAGAACTAAATGTAAACCTAGGCCCCATATTCCTGTAGACGCAGGCGTGAAAAAAAGATATCCATCACTAAAACAGATGTACAGTTATGGTCTGAATGCCATGCTTAATTTTCAAGTAGAATCTGCAGCCCTTTTGATACTAGGATTTGCAGGATGACTATTCAAGATAAATGTTCCAATGCTATTTATTTTAAATGGATTGATAGTATATATCACAACAAATGAAACTTTACAAAATATTTTGTGACTATAAACATTTAACATAGAGTACAGACTACAAAGGCAAGCCTATAATAGTTGAAAATAATTTAATTCAAACATTTATTTTAAGTTACAATAGTGATTATGATTAAAGAAAAAACATTGCATTTGGTCAAAATAACACAATAATGTACAGTCAGACTCGTTTACATTGAAATTTAAGGGACCTTGAGATTTATTTCAAATTAATCGAATTTCATAATATCCCTGTTCCAGGAGTTATATATAACATGTAGATACATTTTTAATGTGTGCGCGAATTCAATTTATTTTTTGTGTAAGAAATAAATTTATCTCTATTTTCTAAAAGAAGTTCGTAATGATTTATTTTTTTTGTTGAGCCGAGTTAGAAAATTATGAGCACTATTTAGACAAGGAAAAAAGTTCGACTTGATCATCGGACATTTTTAATTACCACGTAGATTCGATTCGTCAGGACAAATTCACATCTATAGAACAACACTGCCTCATCTGCTTTGAAAATAAATGCTTCATACACTCCGATATTAAATCAAGAAGTTTATTTTCCAATCACTTACATGATTTATTCGCCCGCGTGGCGCAGTGGTAAGAGCGTCTGCTCTAGAGTCGCACAGTAAGGATCTGATCCTTACGTCGCGGCTTCAAATCCACTTTGGGACGTGGAGACCTGTCCTTCGAAAGAGATCGTATAAACCGAGGTCCCGTTTCGCAGTGGGTGTTGGCACAAAAAGACCCCTCACTGCTCAATGGCCCTAAGCGCCGAGTACAGGTATAAATTTGCGGCACTCCAATGGCAAATGGTGGCGTCTCCATCTGAGTGAAAAATTCTCTAGAGGGACGTTAAACAATTAACAAACATGATTTATTTACTCGAGCACTTTTTTGGTAAACCGATTTACACACGACACCCCAACGAATTCTAGCCATGTCGGTCTCAACGCCGTAGTTAAGAAAATAAAAATTGTGACTTGAATATTCTGACGTCTTAAATATTCTGGCGAGAAATGCTCAACTTTTATCTCTATACAAGACATTTCACATGAAAACTAATATTTGCTGAAACATTCATATGTGAGACATATTATGGTATATTTTTTAAAGTTACACATGTACATGTAATACTCAATATGCTTTCATATTAGATTTTTTTTGTCTGAACCCTATTTCAGTTTCAATTGATAGTTCATTTATTTCATGTGTCAAACTGAATATTGTGGAAGAGAGTGAGCGAAAGACGACTTTCACTTTTTATTGATTGTGCATTGAAGACCGATCTCAAATCTGAATTCATTTTTAGGTGACCTAAGCCAATCTTAAGTGTGCTTTTCTGATCAAAATTTGTCTATTGTCTGCCATTGTTGTAAACTTTGCAAACACTTGTAAAAATTCGACTTTTTTCTGAAAAAGAACCACTGGACCAATTCTTGGATAAAAGGGATTCAGGTTGTTAAAATAAAGGAGCACGTCCTCTTTAAAGAGAATATAATCAAGAAAAGACATTATTATGTATATGATACTTAATATATTCTTAAGAACCATTGTTATTGGTGGCGGCGGGAGGGGGGGGGGGAGTGAGCGTGTTCCCATAGGAATCATATTTAAATTAAATACTTAACTATAGAAAGCAAAGCTGTTGAGCCTCTCTCCTCCCTAATTTTGCCAGTACACACTTTGCATTAAATTACAAACTTCAAGCTAATTTACAGTTGCCCCTCCCCCTCAGTAATTTTGCCAGTAGACATCCATGTTTTCAAATACAAATTACATGTAATAAACAGTTGTGCCCCCTCAGTAATTTGCCAGAATACATTAAAGATTGAAATACAAAGCTAACTAACAGTTGCCCCCTCCTCTCCCTTTCAGTTATTTGACCAGTGCCCACAATAAAATACAAATTTGATATACAAAGCTAATTTACTTGTACAGTTGTGTCATCATCCAAAAAGTCTAATAACGGTTTTCTGCTTGTTTGTTTGTTTTTGAATGATTGCTCCCCCCCCCCTTCCCCGAAGCAAGCGAGATTACTTCTCATGGACCTGCTTATGTCATGTTTGTAATGTTTGTATTTAGAACCACCAAGTAATTCAAAATCCATCAATTGTAAAGAAAAAAGACAATAAAATTTTAATAACTTCGTAAATAGATTTAACTAAATAAATTTATAAAGCTTATAAAACTTTCAAGTTGAGTGAAATTGAGTAACGTAGGGTTAATCGAGTATCTGTGGAGAAAAGCTAAAAAGATAAAAAAGAAAAGTTACCAAGTGCACGAGGTTCTCTGCAGAATAAAGTCAGTTTATGCAGAATAAAGATGATTCATTAATGTGACAAGTCCGACCATATTTGCCAATTTTTATTACATCCATACGCGTAACACCTCCTGTATATGTAGGACTGACTCGTAATTTCAGTTCAATGGGACATTTCAAGGAATTAACTGCTTGTCGTATACATTTCTACGCTTTTTAATATGTTGCTTATGCTTTGTGTAGTTTGCGCTACTGGCTTTCCCGTCATAGTTAACGGATATTATGGAGAAGAGTTTCAAAGAAACTTTCAATGTGCTGCAAATAGGGTGAGTTTAGATTCCCAACAAAATGTTGTTTGAGATCAAGTTGGTAAAATCCTTATGAATATAACCGTATCTATACATACTAACAAGGTATGGGAAACTTTCTCTCTTTGCTTGTAGTATGACAAGAGAATTCTACTCCCTTTTCAAACCATTTTCTTTAAAATTAAAAAAAAAACCACATTTATTTGGAAAAAAAAAATTTAGATAGTTTTATGCCCTTAACAACTATGGGTAGACAATAAGTAACGTGTCCTTGATTGGTGGTACATTCCGTCCTCCACGAAACAGAGGTTTTTGAAATCGGTAGTTCCCTCTTTTTTGCTTGTTTTTTCCCTTAATGATAAAAAAAATTGTCCTTGATTATCTCGGAGATAAATAACATATTCTTAAAAATAAATAGAATGACTTAAAAATCCTCCTCCATTAAAAGGTCGTCACGTAAAATTGAAGTTTGACATGATTTGCAATTCAGTGATTTCTGGATGTCTGGGAAAGAATTATATCCTGCTAAATACACTTGGTGTGTTTGGAAGTGCTCTATATCTTTTGATTTAAGTGCCTGATTTTACTAAGGGGAAGGGTGTGTGCGTTGGGCTTTCATACACAAACTTTCAATCCGATCAATGCCTGATTAATCGACCTGTTGCGATCTAGTAGATGGACCTTAGACTTTTTCCTCGGTAGATATTCTCTTATCAGGTCTGTTAATATAGGAATTGAATTCATAAAAAAGCTGCAATTGTTGAACATGCACATTTGTCTTTTGAACTTCCACAGAGAATAACTATGGGATATCCAGCTATATCAGGTCCGAAATCCCGTAATGATCGGATTGCTATTGTGGGGGCTGGGATCGGTGGAGTGCATATGGCGTCTTTACTAAAGGTTAGTAAATAGCGATATATGATAGCGTATAATTACTTAATTTGTTTGTGTACATAACGTGTTAATTTTGCAAATATTAATTGCAGGCGAGAGGTTTCAAAAATGTCAAAATTTTTGAGCAACGAGGGGAAATTGGAGGAAAATCATATTCCCGATTTTACAGGGGTGTATGGAATGAGTTTGGAACTATATTTCTGACCGATATCTATGATCAAGTAGCCAAATTGATAGAGAGGTATACTCCCAGCTTCAGATTAGTATCCAAAGCTGAATCCACTGTAACGGTGAACGATTACGGTGAGTGATTTCAAGAAATTTAAATCTAATATATACTATTAGATTAAAAAAAAACTATTAACACCTGACACAGTGGAAATGAATACTTTACAGACCCCCCCCCCCATCCCACCCATCCCATCCCCCCCAAAAAAGGAAATTTCCATGAATTTCTTGAAATCTAAACAATATCCGGTATTCTTATGATCACGCAATGTTCAGAACAAAGGCGAAATTATTGCTTCTTTTGACCTTACGCGGTGACAATGAACTTTCAGAATGTAGTACCCATTACTGACACATCTTAATTTTACACTAGCCTAAGGAAAACCGAATGCATTTACGAGTAATTGTAAAATATTCTTGAGAACTTTAATAAATTCAAAATAATACTACAAGTTTTACTGTCTAATCTCATTTTAAACTCTAGAATTCACGACTTGGAGAGAACTTTTGATTCAGAATACAGGGGAGAAGACTCCAGAGGCTGCTCTCCGCAGTCTCCAAGATGCCGTGGAGAGGTATGATAGAATCCACCGCTGTTTGTTTGGAAATTATTCCTTTGAACTCATGCCTCGACCAACTCCAGAAGTTCTCCATCAAATTCGAGGAACTGTCCAGGATTTCTTACAAAGGAATGACCTAATGTTATTGGCACCTATATTCAGAACTTTTCTAACAACAGACGGTTATGGATATATCAACGAGACTGCAGCTATATACGGTTTGGTTTGGATACCACCGGAAGTAGTTAAAGGAGTATTTACACCTGAAAACGGGTTTTGGATTTTACTAGGAGCATTTCAATTGATTGTAACCGAGATTGCCAGACAAAATAAATTACATATACACCTTGGAGCCAATGTCAAAAGCATTCAAAGAATGCCTGGTCCTGGAGGTATTCATATAACTTACTCAACGAAGGGGCATCCAAATATTAATACTGAGCATTTTGATTTTTTGATTCTATCCCCAGCGATGAATTCTTTACTGAATATAGTGGATTTCAACGCAAAGGAAAGGAATTTATTTAGCAGACTGAGGAATGCATACTTCGTCCTATCACTGGTCGAATCCGACATTGGTAGACGAGGCAATGATCCTCAGGTGTACTTCAATAATGACGTTGAGCAGCCCACGTATCCCATATATGCCGCTTATAATTTCTACCAAGCGAAGAACAATATCAGTAATGATGACCATCGCCTTGGGATTCGGGAAAATGGTCCAGATGGGCGTCCACAGGAAACTGTTATGTATTATCAGTACGGCTTTGAAAATCCTTGGGCAAAGGATATCGATTTTATCATCCAGTCCAAGTTAGCTTCAACCTTGAAAAGATTTGATAAGACTAACCCAAGAATTCTGGAACAAATAAAATGGGGATATTATTTTCCCAGGTTTCCAGCCAAAGATGCCGATCGTGGGTATCTTTGGGATATATTAGATATGCAGGGCAAGTACAACACTTGGTACATTGGTTCCTCCGTCTGCTTCGAAAGTATGGAGAGTGTGGTTGAATACAATAATCTGATGATGGCAATTTCACATTTATAAAAAAAAATATGAATTGGCAAGGGACCATTTCCGTTACAATTATTATTATAATGTGCAACACGTCACATGTGTGCAAGAATAAAATTTAAGATATTCAGACATTTTAATCCTTTGAATCAAGGCAATGATTTAAATGGAAAAAAAAATATCAGAAATAGTTTATATAAAAACAATCCACTATGATTTCTCTTTGTATTGTATAATTTTCAATCATTTTCTATTCAATAATTTCCAGTTTCTGTAGGTTTTCATTTGTATTGTATAATTCTTCATTTTTATCCTTTTATTTTAGATCGTTATTGTATATTTTCTAATTGTATTCTTCCTGTTTATTTGATACGCTCTAGGTATGAACAATATTTAAAACGAGGCAAGCTCTTGACAAACCACTTGATAAAACAAGGATAACAACAGTCTCATTTGAATTAATCGTTTCTCAAATTTTCAGGTTGATACAATGACTTTGTAAGCAAATACAACTTATCATTAAGTCAAATGCAGACTGACATTTTCAAACTAATTGTTAGGCCATTGTTTACACACTGAATTGTCTACAGATTTTCCCGTTTTCCCGATCATGACAAGGAGCACTTTGGTGTGTGACCGCTCGGCAGGGGATGCTCACTCCTCCATGGCACCTGGTCACACCTAGGATGTCTTTGGAGGTCCGTGTTTGCTCTGCTCCCGATTTGCATTGTTTAAAGGGTCTTTGAACTTGAATACTGTTCGTTATATCAATATCTCATTCTGTATTTAGTTTTTTTTAATATTGTATAAATTCATTTGTATTGTATGATACACGATTTGCATGAATTTGATTATTAGTTTTTTCGAATACAAAAAAAAAAAAAATCGCATATAATATATATTGAAACATTAAAAAATGGTATATAATGCTTCTCTGATAGAAATTATACAATTTACGAAATAAAATATACAAATAAAAATTTAACAGAACAAATAGAAATTATACAATTCAAGTGGAAATATAAATATAAATAGCTGTAATAAAAATAGAAATGGAACATACAATACGATGGAAAATAATACAATACAAATAGAAAAATATTACAATACAATGCAGAAAAAAAACATCTAAACAAATTTAAACAAACACAAATTAGAAACAATTAGAAATCAAACTGTGAAACATACAAAAGAAAGGGAATATTAAAGAATGTAAATGAAAGAGATTGAATATTGCAACGTTTGAAACAATGTCTTAAATTTCTATTCATTTATTTCTGTCAACAAGTAATTATGACATGACTTCCTGCCTGACGGTAGGATTATTCAAGTTCTTATATTTCATAGCACCTAATAATTTTATTATGATATATACTATATAATCTGATATACACGCTATATGTATTACTAATGATAAAGAAATTGTCATTCCTTTTCATCACGCTTGAACAGAATAGAACAAGTTTACTTTTGGGCCCCGTTAAAGGTGCTTGGACACAAATTTGAGGTTAATATTTTCTCAAATTTTCAGTATAATTTCATGACTTATATGTTGCTATAGCATTTCATACTAAAATATTATAAAAATCTTATTTCATCTCGAAGTTATTGAAACTTCAAATTTCTGGACGCGTTTTATTGACACATCCTTGCACTTTCACAAATTTTAATTTTGTTCTTAATACTTAAGAAAAGTGGCAATTTTGTTGTGTATTAATGAAAAATATTAAAACTATAATCCAGAAAATTCAGAGTAGAAATGTTCTAAAGCAAAACCCACTCACAGTATTGTCAGTCCGTGCTCAGTGGTGTGTGCAGACTTTAACAATTGAACACACCTGGTGAATTGAAAACATTAACAATAACAGAGCTCGTGCCCTGTTTACAAAAACTGTTTACGTTTCACGGGTGTATTCAATTTGTTAAACTCTGTACTCAACACTGGGCACGGGCTGACAATATTAGTGAGGGGGTTTGCTGTAGCACATTTCTACTCTGAATTTTCTGGATTAAAGATGTAATGTTTTTCATTAATACACAACAAAAGCGCTTCTTTTCTTAAATATTAAGGATAAAGATAAAATTTGTGAAAGTGCAAGGATGTGTTAATCAAACGCGTCCAGGAATTCGTAGTTCAAATAATTTCCAGATAAAATAAGTTTTTAATTATATTTTCGTGTGAAAAGCTATTGCAATATACAAGTCGTGATATTATATAGAAAATTTGAGAAAATATTAACTTCAAATCTGTGTCCAAGCACCTTTAAAAGGTGAAAAAAATTAAGATTCATATTAAGCATAATTTTTCATCTCACATTATCAATACGTTCTATTTCCACTATGGAAGAGTTATACTTCTTAGTGCGCTCTTTTGTGAAAAAGTTGGAAAATGTACAAATCTCGTGGGATTTCTGGGACAAATGTAACATAAACATGTAAACAATATACTGAATATCGATGAACAATTCCTAAGAAAATGCAAATGAAATATTTTATTGTTGTGGACTTTATATACATCAAGAGTAGGAATGACAACAATATCAATTTATATCTATTGTTGATGGTATGTATCTATTTATCGTATGGTACATCTAAATACAATACACATGCCTCGGAAATGTCGTATTTTTTTTAATGGCTGATAAATTTAGGGTTCTCGATCTCTTACATATGTCTTTTAGTTCTTCTATTCTTTAATTGGAATGACAAATACATTTAACATTTAAAATTGGATTGAGATTGGCATGTTTTGTATTATCCGCAACGCCATGCTGTCCCAGTCAGACGACCAAACGCGCCTTTAATTTTGAAGAGTTCACTAATGGAAATAGAACGTATATAAACTATAAAATTCAATAAATTTAACAAAATTTAGTGCTGAAATTTATGTTTATATATAGAGCAAATCCATGTGGTAGTGGTCAGTCGACATTTGTGATTTTCTATAGTAAATCGAGGATGGACATAACATTTCAAAGCCTTTGTTTATTGTCAGTCTAATGTTGTACAAACAAACATGTGCCATAGATAAAAGACACATAATACACTTATAAAACTTGTGTGAAAGTAGGAAATTTATACAAAATTAGGCTGGTACTTTAAATGTTAAATAAGTATGAAAAGTTCGATGTTTTTCCTATAGCAAGCGAGAGCTATTTACCTGTGTGACCTTTCCTGTTGTTGAACCGACCTGTGGAATAAATTATTCTAAATAGTCACGTGATTTCTACCAGGTTAACATTCCTCAAAAGTACTTAACATAAAACACAGCCCCGTTTTATATCGTTTGCCAAAGTCGTTATATATATGTCTTATAGATACAAATATTCGGGATATCCTATTAATGCTCCAAAGCTTGTTTCCAATGGGTTTCTTAAAAATAGGGATGGAAAACATAATAAATCAACAATTATTACATCGCAAAATGAAAATTGATTTGCACAAACCTTTTGACTCATTGTTACTTATACATGTATATACAGCTCTACTGGTTTTAGGTAGCATCGATAACAAATAAATCAAGCTAAATGGTAGTACAGTAAAACAGTTCACTTTATACACCTAAATGCCCTTTTGTAATTTAAAATTGATAAAGGAAATAATGTTAATATTTATTGTATCATTTGAAATGTAACCGTGCTAAATTCTTAGTTTGATTACTATCATGACAACAGGCAACTATATACAGCTATATACAGCTTCATTCGATTTTTTTAAATAAATAAAATAACGCAAGACGTATCATTCGGCAAACGCGCATATCGATGATCCACCACCAGGTTGTAATTAGATTTCCCGGCTATTATCTTTTTTATTATTTAATTTGTTTTCTTAGTAAACAGAGTAATTGTAAATAAACATTTTCACATTTATAAGATATTCACGCGCTCACTCACTCACACATTTCTTCACTTTTAAAATAGTTCGTTTTCTCGAAGTCAGACTTTCGAACTAATGCTTTTTGAAATTTCTTACGGAGGTCTTATATCTCCTAGTTTCTTGAATTGGTAAGTATGTTCCTTCAACGAACCTTTCAATAGACAGACGTCTCGGCCAAAGGAAACCTCAGTCCGTCACGTTTGACACCTCGGCCCTGACAGGTCGTCCCAAGATTATTGACATGTGGGCCCATATAAAAGACACCTCGGCTTAAGGAAAGTTTTATGATAGAATAAATTAACCCGTCTGAATCGATATTATCATATAGATGTATTTTTTTTCCCGACGATTAAACCTTTCTTTTAAATTAGAATCCAGTGGGGACTTCTATGATAGATAATTGTTTCATTTCTCTAACTGAATAACGTCAGCCTTTAACTTGCATATATTTCTTGTGGAAAATGCCCAATAAATACACTTAAGTGAAACTAAATCAACATACAAGCATTTTTTTTCTTACTGTACGTTCTTATTTTTCTATTTTATTAAAATTGAATTTTATCGTATCTGTTTGCATTGTTTCTCTGACGAGATGAGTTGAAAAGATATATATGGATTGGACTACATTTACTTATTAATTTTTTCCACGTTTCATTCTATAAAAGGCACACTTATATATAGGTTGCCTGGAAAAACGGGCTATTGCCTAGTTTAGTGACGTTAATGAATTTATGGATACAAGTGATTTCTTGAAAAATAAAGGAGAAAATAATATTGACTGGATGTTAATGTTCTTAATTTAATGTCGCACGGTTAAGCCTCTTCGTAATTAACCCGTAATTAACCCCTCATTGTCACCAATATGATAAGCACTTAAGACTCCAAACGAATCATTGCAGCAATTGTTTGTTTATCAATAAGCACTTTAATTAATTGACTTTTCGTTCCTTGATTATCGTCTCTGTGTTCATGGAAGGTCTTTTTATAATTAAAACAAATCTTGATCATTTATTTATTTACTTTTTTCCACTTAATATTTTATTTTTAAAAGTCGCAAATTGGAAATGTATAATATATTTCATTATTAAATTTTGCGTGGGCTCACGTGTCGCATGGGTCGACCTGTTTTAAGTCTTGGACCGACCCGTTTGAGCTGCGATGTCCTATGGTCTAAATGTCCGTGGGCCGAGGTTTAGAGTAACTTCCTTGTTTTCATTTCTTCTTAGAAATACACTTTTCATTTAAGGAGGGATTCTTCTCTTATTCTACTCATATTTCTTGTATTTAAAAATTAATGAAATTTTCATAGAGGCAATGTCACTAAGTGATGGTATCAATTAAATTAAATTCGACCATTTATTTTAGAAGCAAGGTCAGGTCAAGGTCATTATGTTTTTCCTTGACATTTAGAGTAAAAAATTACTGTTGCTAATCATCTGATGCCTACTTCTATTGTAAAAGATAAAATGTTTTTCTTTTTGTACAAAAAGATGTTACCATATCGGGCTATCAGATGATTCTACCAAATTAATTGACATTATTTAACTTAAATAGATATTGGCTAATCCGAATTTCCTGTTTTTCTTATTTTTTAGGATATATTAGTTATATTTATAAACTTCTTATATTTAAATATTTCTTATTTCTACATATGGTAAAGTAGTCATATAAATATACAAAATGATACAAAAAAAAAAGCTTTGACCGTTTAGTAAGAGAGAAAAAACACTTTTTACTGATTTTTTGCTCAAATCTATTTTAAGGTTGGAAGCTATCAAAAGCTAACAAGATTGTAGTTTGTTTAGAAAATCATTTTTATTTGCTATGTTTTAAAACTTTAGGGCATCATTTATAATTTAGTTACATATCAAAATTTCTTCAAGTCTTTGATTGTTTAAAAAAGATTAACCACATGTAATGTTCTGTAAGTGATTTTGATCGGCAGTAAAGGAGCTATTTTCATACACCCCAGTTGCGCCAAAAAATGTAGTCCCTTATGGATTTCAAACTCAGTTTACCATTTCTATTTAAAATTGTACAATTATGATGAGTAAAGAAAAATATGATCTTTTAAAAACATTACAGCTAAGTTTATAAGACATACAAGCAAATATACTTGGAATATTTCATCTAGTCAGAAACCAGACAAGAATTCCTCCTTAAGTAATGACTTTAATTTTTCAATTGTCAACTTCCCTTGCTTATGTTGCAATATACCTTTATCACCTTGATATGGGGTTTTTGTTCCCCAGTTGACTCGATACCCAAGAGAATGCTCTATGTATGAAAAATTTCTAGAACGATGCAAGCAACTGACAAACAAGTTGATGAAACAGGGATATCAACAGTCTACTTGACGTCACGTTCTATGGTCGATACAATGACCTTGTCAGCAAATACCATCTATCATTAAGTCAAATGCTGACTGACATAATTCATACTAATTGTTAGGCCATTATTTACACACTGAAATGTCCACGGATTTTTTTTTTTTTTTTTTTTTTTTTTTTTTTTTTTTTTTAGCTCACCTGAGCTTTTCTGATCAAAGAGTGTCCGACGTCCGTCTGACGTCTGTGAACTTTTCAGATTTTCGACTTCTCAAAAACCACTGGGCAAATTTCAACCAAACTCGCCACGATGCATTTTTGGGTTAAGTGGATTCAAGTTTGTTCACAGGAAGTGCCGCACCCTCTTTCAAGGGGAGATAATTAAGAATTCGTGAAAATTTCGTGGAATCTTTTAAAAACCCTCTTCTCAAGAAAAGATGAAACTTATGTGAAAGCGTCATTACATACTCTAGATTCAAATCTGTTCATATCATAACCCCCCGGGGGTAGGGCGGGGCCACAAGAGGGGGTCGAAGTTTCACATGGGAATATACGAGGGTTGTTCGAAAAGTTCGTGGACTGATGCGATAAAATTAATACTATGTAGTGTATGCTTACAAAATTTTTAATGAACATAAAACAACAAAAATTAAAGAGATGTTGAAAATTTTAGCTTGATACCTTGAATATTTACCAAATTATCATAAAATAAAAAAGACATTATATGATCACCCGGCGCTGTCGCCATTTAGTTTCATGACGTCATTGTTTTTCAATGTCCGCATTCTCTACCTCATACACTTATCTTGATGAGTTTCCTTGGAGTTAAGTAAAGATTTAAACTCGCTTCTTGTTTATATGATTTTACAATGTCATGAACAGCATGATTCAATGCATATAATATTGTAAATAGATCTGAAAGATCCTCACTTGATTATAACAGCATATTTGCTTGTCGGAGTTCTACATCTTTCACACATGATCAACGTCACTTTTCGACGTGACAAACTTTGAACACCCTTACTACAAATCGACACTCACTTTTACATCTCTCGTCTCTCTAATCTTTTTCGGCGTTTAAAAAAAGTACTCTGAATGCATTTTATTTTTCAGTAGCCCATTTAAATATTCCCTAGGTCTATGCCATTTTTTTCCAGAGGGTGAAACTTTATAGAATGTTGGAAAAAGAAACCCACCCACCCCCCTTTCTGACGTCATTACAACCCAATAATTGTTTGGACATTCCATATAAATTTTACGATAAAATTCCATAGAACTTACAGAATGGGGTAAAAATTGCAAATTTTTACGGTACAACTGTGTCATACCGATGAGTGAATTAACGGGATTTTTCAATGACGAATGGTCATGTATCAAAAAAAAAAGAGTTTTATCTAAGTTACACTTAGGTTAAAAAAACGTAATCTACGAGGTTGCGCCGCCTGGGCATACCATTGCTTTCAAAAACATGAACAATTTATTAAAAAATAAAACTAATGGTGTATTGTGTATTATATAAATAAAAAAGATGATGCTAATTAAACGTTAAAAAATTCATTAATGTATCTTAAGCGGTTTTAATCTTATGGTGCTAGTCCACGAACTTTCCGAACAACACTCGTATAAGAAGGAATATATAAGAAATGCCTTTAAAAATCTTCTTTTCAAAAACAACAAAGCCATGATCAGTCAAATTATTACAGAAGTATCCTCAGGTAGAGTAGATTCAAGTTTGTTCCAACCATTACCCCTGGGGGTGGGACAGGGCCACAACGGGGGGGGGGTCGAAATTTACCATAGGAATATATAAGAAATGTCTTTAAAAATCTTCTTCTTAAGAACAGCAAAGCCATGATTAGTCATAATATTACAGAAGTTAGTTGCAGAACTGTAGCTTGAGAAAATTCGGACAGATAAAGCAGAGAGCAACATATCTAAGCGTTGTAAAAACCTTCGATTTACGGCGCCATTTTTTAGTCTTTCGCTTTGGGTATTATTTCTTGTATTTAATGCTTTCCCCCACTTTAAAAATAGTATCAGATATTTAACCATATATTTTACTCCTATTCCTGATACTTAATTTACCGTTCCACGGTTCCAGACGTCCGTATGTGATTTTGGAAAATCAGTAAAAAGAAAATTGCATTCCGCAATCGATGTTGATGTCATCCTGAAATAACACGCTCGAATTTTATTTATCTCATTTCTTTTCTTTTTCTTTTTTCTATTTTTTTTTTTACATGTATACATATTGTATTCTTTGTGAACAATATACATGATATTTAAACCTCCTAATTGTTTTCTTTTACATTTTCTCGGCAAGTATATGTTTTTTGAAAGACATTTTCGCACGACCCCCAACGTGACGTCGGAATGGGATTTCTAAAAACTGACATTCCAAAACCATAAAGGACTGTTTGGGACCGTTGAAAGGTAAACAAGGTATCAAAAATAGAAGTAAAAAGTATGGTTATTTATCGGATACTATTTCTTTCAGCGAGGGAAAGCATAAAATCCAAGAAATAATACCCGAGCCGAGCGACAAAAAAGCGGCGGTGTAAAGCAAAGGTTTTTACAGCGCTTGGATCTGTAGCTATCTCCTTTGTCTGTTCGAATTTTCTCAAGTAGAAAGCTACAATTCTGCAGCTATACAGAAATATTCTCAGGTAGTGAAGATTCAAGTCTGTTGCAACCATGACCCTGGGGGTGGGGCAGAACCACAACGGGGGGGGGGGGGTCAAAGTTTACCATTGGAAGATATAGGAAATATCTTTAAAATCTTCTTCTCAAGAACAGCTAAGCCATCATTATACATATTAGACCTGCTGTTAAGACGCAATCACCGTAGACATATACCAAGACGTAATGTGGCATTTATGGACTAAGATGGTAAATATGACCTAAAAAGGCACGGTGTGTCAGCGTACCGCGTCCTACATGTACACGTGGTAGTGTAACCATACATTTCAGACTGAAAAGATATGTTTGGCAACGAGATATGTTTCCGATTATTTTTGCATTAAGTGCTGTTGGAATAGCCTGTAAAGTTCAAGGATATGGAGAATTTCCAAGGAATTTTCAATGCGATACGAATAGGGTGAGTAGGTTGTGCTACACAGAAACAAACTAAAACAATTAATGAAATGAAATTTATCATTCAGAATATCATTTGACATATCATTGAATTACAAATCTATTGATGTGTAATATTTATGTAATATCTGTATATATTCAAGATGAGGTAGGTCAAAAGGTAAAATAAAAACAAGCGTTAAGCTATAACCTGGATATATCAGTTTAGATCGAATGTTCAAGGACATACTCCTTAATTATCAAGATGCCGAAGAAATATATTCTTGAAGAAATCTTAACTTCCCTCTTGAAGACAGTAATAATTATTTTTCATTTACTGCACATCATTTACCACTAGAGCGATGTGGATGTATGAAGAAAAAAAAATCTTTCGAAATCGTTAACATAGTATGCTTTGAACAGTTTAATTTGTATTGTAAAAACGATTTTTTTCTGTTTGTAATTGATTTATTAATAATGCATTATATCTGAAACAAAGTATTGTGGTGTGGAAAAATAAAATAAAATACTTAATTTACACATATGTTTGCATAAAAATTATTTGACAGCAACTTCAGCTGTTCAGAACATATAAACAACTGAACGATATGTATTCACGAGAAGATTAAATGGAGAGACATTGTTATTTTAAGTCATTATTTTTGTAAATGTCATACCATAAGGTAATTGGATCACACCCTATCAAAAGTACTATAGTTAGTTATAGTTTACTATAGTTAACTAAAAGATCAAAGTAAAAACCTTTGAAACTTTGATTTACAATAGTGAAAACTTTGATACTTTGATCTATAGTGAAAACTTTGGAACTTTGATTAATTATAGTAAAAACTTTGAAATTAAACTTTGATTTACCTAGTGAAAACTTTGAAAATTTAGTTAACACTTTTGAATATTGATCTATTGTAGTTAACACTTTGAATAACTATACAGCCGTGGAATTGTGTATTGGATTCCCATTCTTGACAATTTATGATATTTCATGATCAAAATTTATTAAAGCTTCAAAGAACTTTAAAAAAAAAATCCCCCCCCCTAAAAGAAATTAAAGTACAAGTAATGAATTTCAATAGGAAGTTGCCTCTTGCGCTGATAGATCGATAGATAAGCAACATTTATTCAAATGTATTTAAATTTAATGCTGATGAAGTGTATTTTTTATGGAGAACGGAAAATGATATTTTAGAAAATGAAATTTGGATTCTTTAGAACCAAAATACCTGCTCCAGCAACTTCAGTAAACATATATTTTCTTAATTTATAAAATTAATGTTAATATTGCATTTGAATCAACTAATTTGTATATAAATTTAAGATATACAACAACCCCTTCATCATCCCCCAAAACGGCAAAAATAGCAATAAATTATTTAAATACTTGACCAAAATAAAATACTATTGCAAAAAAAAAAAAAAAAAAAAAAAAAAAAAAACTTTGCAATTTTGATTTTCTATAGTGAAAACTTTGAAACTTTTATTTACTATAGTAAAAACTTTGATACTTGTATATACTATAGTGAAAACCGTGAAACTTTGATTAACTATAAGTAAAAACCTTTGATACTTTGATTTACTATTATAGTGAAAACTTTGATACGTTGATTTACCACAGAAAAAAACGTTGAAATTATGATTAACTGTAGTAAAAACTTTACAATAGTAAAACTTTGATTAACTAGAGTTAACTATAGTAAACTATAATTAACTGTAGTTTATTATAGTATTTTTTGTCAGTGCAGGGGTTTAGTGACAGGATAGTGTTTCAATGTATTCGTATTATTTTATATTATACTGAATAAAATAAGTTAAAAAATGATATATCGAAAATGATTGAAATAACGTCGTAAGATAGATTGAAAAATAAATATAACGAATAGTAATCAAGCTTGGAAATCAACTGGAATAATATAGAAACGGAGCAAAGCTATCTCAGACCTGTAAAACCATTAGAGGAGCTATCAGGTGCTATGTAGGAGTAAGCATCCCCTGTCGACCGGTCACATCCACTGTGTGCTCCGAAACAATTTAAAATCTTAAAAGAAAACAGCAGTAAAATCCGCGGCGAACTTTGTATTTTGGCTGTATTTCATAACATACCAGTTGTTAAGCCTGTTTTTTTTAAACTAAAACTGACTACGGAATATTCCATCTACCTAATCAAACAAAAGGCTCACGGTGAGTGTGATCGTTCGACAGGGGATGCTGACTCCTCCTAGGCATATGATTCCACCTCGGGAATTTCTGGCGGGGGGGGGGGGTCATATTTTATGCCCTGTTCAAAGATTTGTATTGTTTGTAGATTTTTTTTAGATGGAACTTTTTGTTATCTTCACCTTTTTCATTTCCAGACTTTCTGTACAGATTTGGCACACTTCTTTGTTTATGAAAAGGTTTCAATTTTTTTTGTTGCTTTCGAATACGCGTTCCAAGTATTGAGACTGTATTTTGCACGCAATTTGCGAATTGCCATACGATAGAAAGAAGTCATTCAAGCATTACAATGCTAGATCTCACCCGAAATTGGTATGGAAAGGGTTTGATATTAGTTTTGCTTAAAGTTGAGGTCCTAAGAAAAAAATCCAAGGTTAAAAATTATTTTCTTGTGCTTTTTTCCAATATTGCCCACAAAAAAAATACGATTTTATCAGCAATTTTCAGTATTTTATTATAAGTATTATTTTTAGGCAGACTTCATAGAACACACATTACACTGAAAGCTCTGTCATGAAATCCCTTAAATCTAGCTCTTGTAGCTTCGGTATTTACTTCATAATACTGTAATACCTTCACCTTGCTGTCCCTTTCTCATTGAACTCTCCATAACAATTGTATAATTATACCGATTATATGTCAATTGCAATTAAATTTTAGAGAGTGTCTATGGGATATCCACCAATTAAGGGCCCTAGATCAGTTTACGATCGGATCGCAATTATTGGAGCCGGAATGAGTGGAGTACATATGGCCTCTTTGCTAAAGGTATGTGAATATAGGGTTGTTACAAGGCCTCCGAAAAGTAGAGTGCGGGAAAAATGTGTGGGAGGACAGGGCCAGCGAAAGGTTTCCTCGAAAGGGGTGCAAGGGAGTGTATGGGAGGTGCTTCCACTCGTTATAACCATAACATTTTTATTAAAGTGGGTTTTTGACGGGTTCTGGTGCATTATTGTATTCAATTTTTCACAAATCATATAAACAAAACAGAATATACATGATGTATTTAAACACTTTTTTCCAGGGTGCAATAGCTCATAAGGCATTCCTGTTCCGAAAACCTTATGATATAGACATTACTCTTAATTCTTTTTTTTTTTTCAAAAAAAGGACCGTTACTTCATATGGTTATCAACACTTCATTTTGTATTTTATTCATTGATATAAATGAATGATATATGTTTCACAGGAACGTGGTTATAAAAATATCAAAGTTTTTGAAGAAAGACAAGAAGTTGGAGGAAAAGCTTATTCACGATTTTATAGAGGTGTATGGATGGAGTTTGGTGCAGCTTTTCTCAGTGAAATTTATGATCAGATTGTCAATTTATTAGAGAGATATAATGTTGGATTCACAGTCGTATCCAAGAGTCCCATTTCAATTTGGGAGAATGATTATGGTGAGTGTTTATAATTCGTTTATCGGGGTCATATTATTAGGAGCATATCTCAATTTAATTTCTACGTGATATGTATACATTGATGATTTTAACTCGTGACTAAATGGACATTTTGAGGTATTGGTTGACTTAGTCCGAAGTTTCATACTTTAAAATGCGCAATTTGCCAGGTCGATAAAAATAAAAGCAGATCTATAGTTAGTCGAAAGGAAAACCGAGAAAAAAGGTAAATATTGAGATGAACTCACTCTGTTTTACAGGTACCAATTAGACGACATTAAAATTCCTGTTCATTCAATAATTAATTACATAACCTGTGTCTTATTTGCCGTAAACAAACGTTCCTTATAAAACATGTTAATTAATTCAGGTCAATACTCAACTAATGTAAAATCTTCAATGTCCTTTTATTATGTAAGTTTAATTAATGACTCTAATATATGACATATTAAAATTTTGCCACTGCAAGTTACAAAGTTTCTTTTTAATAAAATAATACTGCGTGTAAGATTTTTGTCAATAATTTAAGTTATTTATTTCATAAATTAGAAGACACCACTGTGAGGGACATCCTGATTAAAAGATCAGGAGAAAGAACACCGCAAGCGGCACTCCGCAGTATCCAAGCCGCTGTGGCGAAGTACGATCGAATTCACCGGTGTTTGTTTGGAAACTACTCTAGCGAACTCATGCCTCGACCTATTCCCGACGTTCTCCATGAAATTAGAGGGACTTTCCTAGATTTCTTAAGGCGAAACGATTTATTATTACTGGAACCGATATTCAGTACTGTTTTGTCAAAAAATGGATATGGATATCTCAACCAAACTTCAGCTATATACGGGCTTGTTTGGGTTCCTCCACAATCAGTTAATAGTGCTTTCAAACCAGAAAATGGGATATGGCTTCTCCGTGGCGGGTTTCAGAGGCTTGTTTTCGAGATTGCTAAACAAAACAAATTAGATATACATTTTGGAGTTAATATCAAAAATATTCACAGAATAATAGGACCATCAGGTATTTACATAACACATACATCACAGGGGGATCCAAAAATTTTAAGGGAGCGCTTTGATTTTTTGATTCTCTCGCCAGCGATGAATTCCTTGTTTAATATCGTAGATTTCAATTTAAATGAACTGAAAGTTTTTAGCACATTAGTGAATTCCTACATTGTTGCAACTTTGATCGAGTCTGACAATGGACGACGTGGTCGTGATCCACATATGGACTTCACCACAAGCATTGAGCCGCCATATTCTGTCGAAGGGGGTATCAATTTCTATCAAGCCAAGAAAAACATCACTGGTGATGCCCATCGTCTTGGAATTCGAGAAAATGGTCCGGATGGGCGGCCACAGGAAACTGTTATGTACCAACAATATGGCTTTGAAAATCCCTTCTCAAAGGACATGGATTTGATCATCCAATCAAAATTATTTGCACATTTGAGATTATTTGATAAACGTAATCCAAAGATTTTAGAACAAATTAAGTGGGGATATTATTTTCCTAGGTTTCCCCCCAAAGAGGCCGACCGTGGCTATCATTGGGATGTTTTAGATATGCAGGGAAAGTTCAACACGTGGTACATAGGTTCCTCGGTCTGCTTTGAAAGCATGGAAAGTGTAGTAGAATATAATAATTTATTGATAAAAATAGCAGGTATGTAATAAACAAATTCATCTAGGGGACTGTTATGATTGTATCTTTAGCTCAAGAACTACTGTTAGCAGTAGAAGCATGTGGTCTGGGCTAAATGTGCCATACCTCGGTAATTAAAAGTATTTTTGTGCTTAAGAGGTACACGTTTCACTTACGGCTCACGGTTATAAAAATCTCTATTTTCTATGTACATGTACTTGAATTAATCAATTGCTTTGAGGTGATGTTTAACATGTTTTACTTAGAAATTACCTAATCTGCTATATCTAGAGTATATGCTTCCCCCTCCCCCCCCCCCCCCCAAAAAAAAAAAAACAAAAACAAAAACAAAAAACATCAATTTTCAAACTTCGATTGCTGTGTTATTGCTCTTAATAAAGTCATATCTAAAAGAAATAAAGCTGTGCTAGAAACATTTTTTTCTATCCTTGTAGTCACAATGAATAAAAAAAACATACTTAGGAACAATGAACTTGAACGTAAACATTTGACAGTGAATGAAAAATGAAAAATCCTGCATTAGAAAAAATTATATAAATACCCTATATGAGAACTTTTTTGTATATCACTCAAGCTCTATATTGATGTTATAGAGAAGCCATTGTTAACTAAGATTTTGACAATGTGATGAAGAGCATTAATCAGATTACGCATAATGACAGTTGTTTCAGGAGTCCAGCTGCTCCAGAAGTAGTTAGAAAGAGCTAAATTTGTGTTATATTAAAATAAATCATTGTCGTTTCCAATAAAAACAACAGAATCTCTGTGGATCAAATGTATTTTTATGTCAAATTTTGATTATCAGAAAAGTAATTTTCCTCTTTTTAAGGTAGTGAGTGGGTCTTTTTATACCTAATCATCATTTAACTACAGAGCTGAATTATATATATATATATATATATATATATATATATATATATATATATATATATATATATATATATATATATAGATAGATAGATAGATAGATAGATAGATAGATAGATAGATAGATATACATATACATTGGTCAATCCCAAACTTACTCTCTGATAAAACCCTTTTTAGGACAATTGTTGTTTCTTTGTTTACAGTATGAAAATGTTTTGATGCAAAATGACCAAATATGATCAATCAGAACTGGTACAAGTAGGACAACCGTTTGTGCAGTGATTATTGCATTTACTTCTACAAGATGCATTAAAGTGTTAATTTAACCATGCAGGTGACAGTTTTCTGCATATTCTGTAGCCTAAAATTCATCAAAAATGGTTATTTAGATGTACGTGTGTTGGCTAAACAAGTTTTCAATGATTGGTGTCCATATACGTCTTTAAAAAAATATAGATGTAAAAATAATTCTACTGAAAATGGAAAAAAAGTAATAAATAAATAAAAATTAGACAATCTATGGACGGGGTATATGATGCCTAATAAGGTTACCACTCCAGTTCGCAGGAAAAGGATCATTTATACTATTATTGTTTAAATTACCATGTTAATTGATTCATTGTGAAGAGCTGTTTGTGTAGCAAAAAAGTAAAACATTTGAATTTTGAACACTTTTTAATCTGATATTGATCAGTTACCTACAAGAACTGTTATTAACACAACAACAAAAACTATTTTTAAATTTAAAGATATACATTATGATAACTTAAGATTCAACTACTACAAATAAACAGATATTCAAAGGAATACATTTATCAGGTAAAATGCTGTATGATTTAATGACTGCCTGAGGATTGGGGAAAATGCATGTAAAAGTAGTCTATAATCACAAGAAAATCACATTTTCCTTAAATTTTCCTTTTCAGTGTAGTGTGTGAGTCACCCTAACGAACTGGTGTGAACAGGTGTCCACCCGCCTGACATTCGACATACGGATGTTCAAAAGTTTGACTAGTTAACGCGCATTTTTATGACCTGCATAAGCATTCATGTAAACAAATACCGCTATACGGAATGAGAGTTAAAAAGCATATGCACTGAATATCATGTGTGATTCATAAAAAATTATAGTTTAAGAATCAGGTATGCTGATTTATTTTTTATTTTTTTTTTAAATGAAGACAGGCAGTGTTTTGAAATCCCGATCAGCCTTTTCTCTGTCTTAACAACAAAGATGCAAAAGTTCCACACTACGCTGCATGCTTTGAAACATATGTTTTCTCGATTTCGAGAGCTTGTTTTCAGTAGTATTTATAAAGTGCTGCTAGAATCGTGTGGTATCATGAATTGATGAAATTTCTTCGATCTTATGTACAAAATATAAAAAAAAATTGGTAAGGTATCATGCTTTCAGTGTTGAATATTTTACATCAATTGACTGGGTTCGAGGGCTACAGCATTTTGTCGGACCCAAGAACCAAACGGCTTGCATGAGGCCGGTAGGCCGAAAGGAAAACAGTTTGGTTCGAGGGGTCGACAAAACGCACTTTGCCCGAGAACACAGTCAATAAATGTTTTGTTATACTTTTCATTTATTTCTTCTTATTTTTTTTTTAACATGTATACATGTATGTCGAACACCAGATTTAGCTGACCCAGCCCATTGTGTGACGTAAGCGGTCCAACATCTCATCGACAGGTCCAATATATCAGCGGTCGAACATCGATTTTTATGACCGCTCAGCAAAACATTAGAAATGTTAGACTTTTATTTTTATTGATTTATATAGGAACAAATTTTTAAAGGTATAACAATAAATTATGTGACAGGAGAGTATTGCCCATAAATGTTTTTACAAACAGAAATGAACATCTCCTAATGTATTCGATACTCAAGATCATGCTCCGAGTATGAACAATTTTTAAACCGAGGCAGGCTACTGACAAATAAGTTAATTGATGTTTCAGGGATTTCAACAACCTAGTTAAAGTCAGCATTTCGTAAATTTTATGGTTGTTATAATGACCTTGAAAGTAAATATAACCTCTCACTGGGTCGTATTTTTGCTGATTATTTCGTTCCAATCGTGAGGCCTTTGTTTTATGCTGAATTTGACTTCCTAATGTTCCGTCTACCTAATCAATACATAGGGCTTCCGGTCAACAGCGGATGCTTACTCCTCTTAGGCACCTGACCCCATCTCTGAAATTTCTAGGGGTCTGCGTTTTATGCCCTTTTCACAGAATTGTATTTATAGATTTTCGATCACAATTCGTTATCTCCACCTTTTTCCTTAAAGAAAAATAGCATATTTATAAGAACAGAAATTTGAAATAGAAAGAGGGTTGTTATCTGGATAAAAATATTCTTTAAAACATTTTGTATCGTTATATTTCACTATATTTCACATGGTGTGTGAATAACTCCCTTACATATTACTATCACAGCATAATCTTTACAGGATTTCCATTTCTGTTATCAAAAATGAGTATTTGCCAAATAAAACTTATTTAATCCACGCTATTTTTAATTCTTCTATTTAGTGATCGTCAATGAAACGTTCATTTAAAATTATTACACAAACCAAAATAAACAAGACTAATTGACACATATCCCGTAAGTATAAGGTCGCAATATAAAGTACAGTTATTATCATTATTTCAATTGCAGCCTGCAGGTCATGGTAACTTAGTGAAAGAACTTTTGCTTCGTAATCGGAAGATCTGTGTTTAATTCTTGTTCTCTGGGCCGTGACAAATCTAAGACGTAACCATAGGTAGTAAGTGTTCCTTTGCCAAGCGCCCGGCATTAGAAGGGAAAGTCACGGGACTTTCGGATGAGACCTTAAAAAATCCTGTCATGGTAGACATTGTCACGAAAAAGAACCCTCACTGCTCAATGGCCCTGAGTGCCAAGTAAAGGTCTAAATCTGAAGCCCTTTACCGGTATATGGTGGCTTCTTTACATGAGTGAGAAATTCTCGAATGGGACGTAAAACAAGGTACAATCAATCAATTACATCCTTATAACTTGAAAGCCTTGTAAGTTGGAACCAATAGTCCACGAAAATTCGTAATTCACTAGTCAGGTCGTTTCTCTGTAGTTTGTTTGAAAATACCCCTAATTTTAATTGATGAATTTGATTATTTCTCACTTAAAGTGCTTTATTGTTATGACTTCTACTTTGTCAAGTAGATGAAAATAATATTTTTTTTAACTTGAACATCACTGGTATGCTCCAAAGGTAATTTTCTTTCCAGAAATTTATGTTTGATACCTTGACCATGAGTAAATTCGACATCATACATGTACCGGTATATTGTATATCTGATCCCTGACACCCACTTGTACGCACAGGGCATCATAAAGCATCACATTATTCTTGTATCAATATACTGATTTGTATTCTTACCAGTATTTCTAAAAGAAAATGTTTTGTGATTGCAATGATGATAATTAATTGTACAATTTTATTGATGTTGAACAATATACTGTTCTGGTGTTGATTGAATCAGGAATCAATAGCAGTTGATAAGAATTTTGTATGATACTGCCTTTTACAATAGTAATTTGCTGTTGTTTTGATGTGAGTGGTGTGTGTTTTGTACGAAACAGGCCTCTTAGAATTGTGCGCTTTTGCAAGGGGATGCTCCGTTTTGCGTGTCCTTATTCATATTTGAATCCTGAAGCACTGCCCTGACAAGACAACTGTATGAAATATATGGAGATAACGAACAGTATTCAAGCTCAAAAGTCCATTAAACAATACAAAATAGGAGCAGAGCAAACACGGACTTCCAACATCAGAGGTGGGATCAGGTGCCATGGAGGAGTGAGCATCATGGAGGAGTGAGGAGTGAAATATCTTAATATAGTTTCTCCCTTTCTTATCAAAATCACCACCCTTACCTTTCTGGTCGTTAATTGACAAGAACGGGAATGTTATTTGTTTTAAATGACTGGATTCTTTGTGGGTATCAACGTAACACTGAAGTACTACAATCATTTAATAATAATTGGAAGAAACTGTACAATCTTAAAAAACTAACATTGTTATATGCCGGATTTTAGTCAATTACATTGATCATATTTTTTTGAACATTATTCCCTGAAAATTATATTCTTTGATATCTCTATCCATTTGAAACACATCATGTCAATAATCTGGGGGTTTTTTTAGGGGGTCGTCTTTGTACTAATATATCTGTATTCTCGTATTCTCCGTATCCTCTTTATCATAATCTTCCCAATCCTCCTCCTTATTTTACTTATAATCCCAGTCGCCTTCTTCATCTCCATCTATAATATACATTACCAAGATACATCTTTTATTCGATTATATATCTAAACAAATTTGAAATTCTCTGAACAGAAAGATGAAAAAAGGGAATTGTCATACATTTGAAAAGCAATTTCAAGATGAACGAACAATCATAAAAAAATTAAACAGAAAGTAAACAAAATATATAATCATTGTTATATTTAACCATGTCACATAAGATACATAATACGAACAGATTCTTACGTTGATGAAAACAGCAGTAGCCAATTTTAGCGGGAGGGATAAGTTCACAATATCTCCTGTATCCACACGTAGAGTGCGATGTACACTTGTGATTATAGTTGCACTGTTCTGAAATTATGATTATTTTTTAAAATCAATATTAACTTGACCAAAGCTTAAGGATGTACACAAGGTAATCCTTCCTTTTTATCTCCTGTGATTTAAGAGACTCAATAATGAGTCCGTAATACATGTATTTTCCGAAAATGGTTCGAATTTTTGTATATCTTAGGTTTCCTTGAGGAGATCTTTTGTATGAGGAGATGCTTACAGCATATTATTGTTCACCATGTTTGATCTATCATTAAGAGAAAACTAAGTGGAATCACACATTTCAAAAATGATAGGCAGAAGTATGAGGTAGCAGAGATCCATTCCATTAATTCTTAAGCTGAACTTGATTCAGTTATTGAATATCAAGGTGAATAGCAAAGGTTAATACATGTATATTCTCTCAGAAGCGTACGAATTTCTCAACAAGATCAATAAAGTCCTGGCCAGCGCAGTAATACTTGGCCAAGTGGTCTAGAATTTCATATAGAGACTTCACCATATACCGGTGAAGGGCTTCAAATTTAGATCTTTACTCTCGGCACTCAGGGAAATTGAGCAGTCAGGGTTCGTCCCAACGCCTACCGTGACACGGGGCCTCTGTTCTTAAGGTCTCATCCGAAGGACCTGCAACTTTCATTTCAAAGAGCCGAGCGCTTGGCGAAGGAAGGGTTGCTTCCTACTTTTTATCGACTTAGGTCAGTTGCGGCCGTGATTCGAAACACGGCCTTCCGATCACGGAGCGAGCGCTTTGTTTTCGACACTTTTTTTTTAAATATTGTGTTTAGTTTAACTCTTTGTCTTTAGCCACAAAGAAGGCAGTGCAATTATTTTCTAAGACATTGTGTGCTGTATAACACTTTGTTTCTAACCACCGCAAATGCATTGTATTCATTTCTCTAAAACATTGTGTTCTGTATAAAACTTTGTTTTTAGCAACCTCAAAGGCCTCTGCATCATAATTTGAATAATCACATACCAACATCATATCATTAACTATCTATAATATCTATAAACTGTCATTGATACTACTTATTTACGTTCTTTGTTTGTAGTGTATATAAATTAGTTATAGTAACGAAGATTGTAAAGTTTTCTGTTATATTTACATTTTGTTTCGTTCATAAGGGATTTAACGTACAGAAAGGCGTAGCAGTCGAACGAGACTGTCAAGCTTCTCTGTGCAGTAAATTTCTTAGGTCAATCGTGAATGCACGTTGTTCAAACAAAGCAGAACGTATGAACGAGATGGTTACATTGAAAAATCTCAGAAATAAATGAAGCGATGTAAAACGAGTGTGCGATTGTATTTGATGGATTAAGCGGTAAGACGACCATGCAGGCATAATACTGGAAAAAAGGTGATTTCAGTTCTGGATCTGTCGGCACTTTGTTTCACCACCTTGTTCTAAAAGTATCGTTTCTGAGGATATGCTTGCATGTGCTGAGGAAATCTGAGTCAATTTAATGCTACATGTATAACTATGGTACCGAAATGATGTTATGTTGTGCAAAATACATGTATGCCAAAAGTACGAAAGTATACCCAGTTGCATGCAACTCAAGGAACCCAAAAACAGGTGCTATATTAAGGGAATCGTCGAAAGTGCATTGTTTCAGTATTGTCAGATTTTAATTTAGCTTTAATTCATAAAATTCAGTGTATTTTTAAAGTTTTTCTTTAAAGCATTTATTTTAAACTAATGACTATATGCCTTTTGAAGAAAGGTTTCACATATGTGGTTGAATTTTGTGAGGTTAGTTCCTCTGTATATATTGAATATGTTTGTAAAAATTGAACAAAGTTTACAAAAAATATGGAGTTTCCTTTTTAACTTTATACTACGGAATTATTGTTCAGTACATGTATGTTAAAAGTTATTGTACGACTACGCTCCGCCCCCTAGATGTTACGGTAAGTTGGATTTCTGCCAAAGGTTTTCTATCTGATTTAAAGTATGGGTAACATAAAAAAAAAAACCGCACCATGACACAAGTGTTTCACACACAAAAAAAAATGTTTGTCCGTGGCCATAAAAAAAAACTCTGAAAATTCTGGAATACTTTGTTCTAAGAAGTTCTTACTTAACTTTCATTCTGAGATCATTGAATACTAAACGTGATTCTAAATCAGGGTATACAGTTAAAAAGAACGTATTAAGAGTAAGAGGGGAGAAAAGAAAAAAAAGACAGAGAGAAGAGAAAGAGGGGAATGAGAGCATCTACAGAGAGAAAGAGAGCTTACCGGACGAAACGACCACCAGGCAAAGAAGAGTCAATGCAATAACGCTTTTCCTCATGTTGATGAAGGACTCTGCAGATTTCCAGATCAACACGACTTAGGTCTTATATACTGTCAGAGAACCTGTATCCACCAATCATTCGTTAGTAAAACAATCTCCTTGTTGATTAAAATGTTAAATTAAAATAGCAGTAAAAATGTCTAATTTAAAATGATAAATGATGTCAATGCGTTGAGGAATCAGAGAAAGAAAATGATTATTATTCAAATTGATTCATTACATATTTTTTTTTTATCTTAAACTAATGAAGTAATTATATCGGTAGAGTAAGTAAAAAAATATTTCTGCGTGCAAAATGTTTAAATGATACGTCAAATCAATTTTACATTTATGCTTAAAATATTTTTTTTTTTTATTTTTTTTTCAGCTTATTTATAACAACAAAATCTTCCTAGATAGGTTTATCTGAATGCTAATAGTCTTAAACACACAGAAGTAAATCAAGTAAAGGAATAATTTCAACGGGTGTAAAACTAAATTCTGCAATTTCAACTAATTATTCTGGGTAAAAAAAAAAGAAAGAAAGAAAAAATACTATGCCGTCCCATTTGTAAAAAAAAAAATAATAATGCTGGCATATGAAATTAGAAAACATTACTCATATCCTTTGAATCATATTTGTATTTCTTATTCAAGTCATTTATTTTGAATAAGGGAAAAACATTTTTCAAAGGTCCACATAAATTAAGTACAAGGCTAATGTCGTACGAGGGGCATTTGAAAAGTTCTGAAAACTTAATAACATGCTATGTTTCACACGCGCTCTAACCACCTCAGAACTATAGGATCTTCTAAATAAAACACCAAATGATAGACTGTAGTCTATATAAACATTCTCCGAACTGGCATTTATGTCCGTTAGCGTGCATCCGAGTAAAAACCAAAAGTTGACTTTAAGTCAAAATTTTAATTCACTGAAATTTTGTCTCTTGTTACGTCATTTTTATGGTCATTATGCGAAACACACGGGATTCTGACGTCATTTTCGGAGTTATTACGTCATAAAAATTCCAAAGTGACGCCACAATGTATATTTTTCTGATCTTTCCAATGATATCAAACTCAATAATTTCCGCTAAACGGTTATATTTTATCAAACAGTTCTCAGAACTTTTCAAATGCCCCTTGTATTTTTGTTGAGCTGTGTTAAAAACTGCGTTTTCCATTGAACTTTACAACTGTTGTTAATCGTTGAATTAGCGCTATCATATTAAGATTGTAAGACGCCAATTGACACAATTTCATAACTTCGTATGTTCATTGCATGCCAATTTGTTTAAAATTTTAGGTCATTGCTGCTTTTAATCTTGTTACATTTTCATTTAAACCTACCATTGCCTAATTAAGTGCAGTAGTCCATGGGCATTACCATAATAGCCTACAAAGGCATGAACTCTTTACTTATTTACATAAGCATGCAGTAATAAATTATTTAAAAATGATATTCTCTCTCTCTCTCTCTCTCTCTCTCTCTCTCTCTCTCTCTCTCTCTCTCTCATATATTATACCGGATAAATACAAAATAAGATATTCTAGAATTTATGATGTTTTGTTACAGGAAAATTACAATATATATATATATATATATATATATATATATATATATATATATATATATATATATATATATATATATATATATATATATATATATATATATATATATATATAGACAAACCGCCATTCAATCAAATTGTAGAAGGTGGAGCTCATAACTAAACTCATGCTTCCCTTACTGTAATAAAGAGAACATTTTCAGCAGTTTTCTCTGTCAATTTTTGATGAAAAAAAAATTATTCGGTTGAAAGATATTATTAAATGTTAATTGCTAACATAAAAATTTGGCTCTAGATACAACATGACACGAAAAAATGGAACATAAATCATTGTAACGTAATTTTAAAAAAAACATATGATTATTTGGCCCTTTAAAACAATTAATGTATTCTGAAATCGTTTTGACATATTAAATTAATGGCATCATTGATAGTTTCAAATAAATGAATTGGAATTCATGTAGGTGCTTAATTAAGAGCAGAGAAATACATGTACGATAAAATCTGTCACAGAAAATGGAAATTTTAAATTCTTTAGACTATACTGGAATTTTTAAATTTTTGCATTTGTGGAAGACAGAAAATACATATTTTTCTTACAAAGCAATATATTTTGAACAAATAATTATTTAATTTGAACGTGTGAAGCTTGAAAAGTTATAGGGTTTCATTGCAATAGAATTTTGTAACGTATTTCACAGTGCTTTTTATGACAAGGAGATATTACAATTTTCATTTAATTAGAACTAATTTGCAAACTGCTTTTTAAATTTTTTTTTTTTTACTTCTCAATTTGAATTCATGAAATATATTCGCAAAGATTTTTTTTCACCTACAAAGATGCAATTTTCTATGCATACCGTCAGTTTCTGACATGAGTTTTCTCTTTCTGCATATCAGGCACTTTAAAAAACATTATTTTTTGTTTGTGACAAGAAATTGTCACAATTTAACTGAATTTGGACGCCTAATCTCCACATCGTCTATTTATAGCATTTACCAAGAAATTTAAATATAGGTTTCCATGTTTTAGATTTAATTGACACTGCACGCACTCGCCAAAAATCAGGTACATTTAGTCGTTGAAGTAGACCTCTAATGTCAGGGACTTTAGATATGAAAAAAAAGTACACATGATCATAAACCTTTGATTTGACTCCGCCTCTAAACCAATCAGGATTGAAAAGGTTTACCAATGCTTTACGCCGATGGGAGTGTATAATTCACTGAAGAGCGAAAAGGGGGGAAAGGGTATTGAAATGAAGGGTATTGAAATAAATCGTATTGTTAGCAGTCTACTTTGATTTAAAATCATTGCGTTTACAGAATATTTGCTTCCGTATTGAATCAACACGGAGACAGAAACATCATCTGCAACTGACAATGTTATATTGCTCGATAAACAATGGAAATTGACGATTGAAAAATTAAATTAATGTGGTCATAATCACGTTTAGGTGTTTTTGCCATCAAAGACTTTCTCTAGTAAAACTTGTAAATATAAAACAGATGTGTCAGACTCTGTAGTGTCTTATATTTCCTGCTCTCTGTTCGTATGAATGAAAATGAATATTGCTATTTGATAAAACGTCGTCGAAATCTCTAAATGTCGCACTGAAGGCCAAAGCAAAAAAAACTTTTTTATCATCAATACCTTCTTTATATATATATATATATATATATATATATATATATATATATATATATATATATATATATATATATATATATATATATATATATATATATATATATAAGACGGTATTGATATATATATATATTTCACAATTAGGCAATTTTCTTTAAAGAACATAATTATTAATACTTGCGTTTGTACATTGCCCTGTTCCCTGTAACCCATAAGTAAGCACTGGGCATCATAAGACAGCAAATTATTCTTGTACCAATCTTAATTTTAAACAAAACAGAGCAGAGTTCGTTGCAAAGCAACGAGAGGTCTTCCGTTGGAGCTGCGGGATATAAAAACCTTGAACTTGCCCAAATGACCTTGGGTCAATGTCCTGATGCAACTTCAAACAACATGTAATATTCGTTTCAAGTAAAAGCTAAATATTCCTCCATTACAAGATGGTCAGGACAAGATTTTTTTGCCTATAAAGTGAGCTTTAACTTGACAAAGTGACATTCGGTCAAGATGACACATTCTCGTGGCATATGCAATCTTTGTGTGAGGTATTAATTTCAAATGTTTTGCCATTAGAAAGAAATAGACCATAAGCGATTTTTACACTTTCTCTGCCGGTGACCTTGAACTTGTCCAAATGACCTTATATCAATGTCATAACATAACACACTCTCTGGTCATGAATAATCTTTATGTGAAAATGTGCTTAAAGTGTGTCTTTTTATAAGTTATGGCTCTTATTTATGTAGCAATATACCATTATCACCTGCATACGGGATTTATGTGACACAGTTGATTCGATACGCAAGAGTATGTTCTATGTATGACCAGTTTCTAAATTCGCAAATTCTAAAGATGGTCGACAAAATCACCTTGTTTGCAAATACAATCTATCGTTAAGTCGAATGTTGACTTGCGCCTTTCATATAAATTGTAAGGCCATTATTTTCACACTGAATTGAATTGTCTACGGGTTTATCCGTTTATCCAATCATGTCAAAGAGCAAATGGCGGGTGTGACCGGTTGACAAGGGGATGCTCACTCCTCCATCCCACATGATCCAACCTCTGTTTTCACAGGTCCATGTTTGCTCTGCTCAATTTGTATTGTTTAATTATACTTTGAGCATGATTCCTCTTCATTATCTTCACATTTCATCTAAACGAAAAATAACATACTGAATTAATAGTAAAAATATATCTATTTTTTTATATTTTAAAAAATCTTATCAAAAACATTGATTTACTAGAACCTATATAACAAACTGAATTAATAGTAAGAATATATCTATTTTTTATATTTTAAAAAATCTTATCAAATACATTGATTTACTAGAACCTATGATGCTTTAGTAAACTATGCTTAACTATGATAAACTATAGTATTCTATAGCCTTAATTTGGTAAGGAAATCTCTGTTGACTAAGATCTTGACACTTTGAGAAATATTTTTCTTCAAACTTCCAGACTGCCCCAGAAGCGAATCCAAAGAGATAATTACGTGCTTTTATGTAGTTTCCAAGAAATACAAAAATGTCTGTTTCCTTATTTAAGGTAATAAATGTTGATTATCAATGAGGTAACTTGCATAATGTTATGTTGAAAACCGTATTCCACTGCAAATCTTAATGTCGCTTCATTTATTTACAAATTTCAAGATGAAATTTTCAGCCGTAAAATCGTTCCAAATAGATTGCAATGAAAGTTAAAACATGTCTTTTATCCTATATAAAAAGAAATCAAACCACTTCTCGCAAAGAAATGCATGGATCTCCTTTCATGCGAAATTATAAGCATGTCGCTTAAAAT